ATGTCAAATGGCATGTAGAGGGAACCATTATCCAGGGTTGTGCGACTGTCCTCAACAAACAAAGAGAAATTTCCAGAGAAGCAAGGATTTCCACAACTGATCTGCTTCCAGTCCAGAGTCAAATGAGGTCAGAGGGGACTCCCTTACACAATTACTATTTTTGCAAACTAGCAACTTCAACCGCTGCATGATGTGTGTAAAATTAAATATGCATCATTCACTGCCTGTCTGCAGGAATCCGCTTGAAAAAAAACCCTCAAGACTAGTGATTTAATCAAAACCTAAGTCTACCAAAGCCTGTGTCCAGATGTAGCTACTATGCACAAAACAACAATGGCTACCTTATTTCTGCTGTAATTCCTAATTTGGTGATGTTTATCCACATGTCATGGTTTACTTCCACTATTATAAGAATATTTCACCAAACTCCAGCAAAATAGCAGAGAATTAAGAGCAACAACAAATACAACTCACACACACAATAAACTGTGTTTATAGAAAGGCAATGATACAACACCAACTGGTATTTTACCCGTTTCATTTGTTTATCATACTAAATAAAGATCTACAGACTGATGGCTGTCATTCAGGCAGTCCTGTCACAGTGAAGGTATTGTGACGTCCCTACAGGTGTTCAAAGCAACATTTTGTTAGAAATGAGATTCAAAGCAAACCCATCTAAGTTTTGGCACTTGTTATGTCATTCCCCCTCGCTTTAAATAATAATAATAATAATAATAATAATAATAATAATAATAATAATTTCAACAGGGAAACGGTAAGACTGAAACATGGACTGCAACAACAAGGCAGGAAAAATGACACAAAAACAAAACACCTGGTGCAACTCAGCTGAGATGTGTCCACTCACCATGAGCTCATGTTCAGTGCGATGCACCCCTAGTTTCTTCAGCCCAATCGTCAGGTCGTTGACACAGATACCTCCATCCCCGTTCACATCCAGGACCTGAAACAGCACCTTCAGTCTGTGCTCCTGCTCGGGCCCGCCACATATGTCACATGGATGCGCTGACTGGTCGGGGTCCGGGTGCAAGTCACCGGTTACGGGCTGTCTGGGGACTGGTTTAGTCGGGGAAGCAGAGGGGTCCCCGGCGCGCCCGCCTCCGCCGCCCGGGTCGACCCCTGGGTGTGTGTCAGCTGACCGGCATTCGCAGGACACATCGCTGAGCAAGGGGGGCATGAACGAGCCCTGCTGGTGCATCATGGGTGTCCCGCACTGCTGGAGTCCTGAATATCTTCACACTTAACTAAGTAAGCTACAGTGCCAACCGGCTCGGAGCTAAGCACAGCTAACTCGAAGAGTTAAAGAGCAGCTGAGGCCACGGTGAGAGCTCGAGCTGACTACGTTACCACGTCACATGTCCCTCCATTACGCTACCGGCCGGCTTACAAACCAGACCTCTCACTACGAACACGGCGGAAGAGTTCACGTGAGACTGAAAGTGCTCATCTCAGTAATTTCACTTAATAAATCAGCTTATCTAGCTAGCGTGTTCACCGTTAGCCAAATGTTACAGCCCAGACACCGGCGAAGCGAGACGTGCTGAAATGTGAGGATCTTGGGCGGTCAGCGGACCGTAAGTTAAAATACCTCACAGAATCGAACGTTTGAGCTTATGCAGAGCTCGTGTGTCGCACGAAAGAAGACGCTCTTGTTTTAAAGACCGTGATGGATCAGGTGTTTATCCCGATGTTTAAGTGCTGTTCACTTGCCGTCCGTTGAGAAGAGAAAGATGTTGCATTAGAACCGGGTGCGCCAGAAATCTCGTTGTACAACGCGAGAACACAGCGTGACAGAGGTTAAAGGAATTTACTGAGTATTAACTGGCCTGCAATCAGATGACTCATTTGAAGGACGGGACATGCCTTAAAGGAAGGAATCCATGAAAAACGTGAATGGAAAACGGAGAATATTTAATGAGAATATAATATTATGGAATAAAATGGCTGTTTATTAAACCAAACTCATCAGATTTCTAAAGGGTGTAGGCCTAGGTGCTAAGGGGAAAGGTTTTTCTCCCAGCCCAAGTTTTTGTGTGCAAGTGGAGGATCATTTCTCTTCTTTTTAAGTTTTAAGTAAAATGTATCCAGTTATCAAATCTCTCTTGATGCTGGGAAAACACTGTCAAAAGTGAAAATTAAGTCTCTCAGCAGAAACCTACATACTGAGATGGAATAACACTCGATTTTTCGCTGCGATGCAAACACGGTTTCCAGTTCCCTCTAATTACTTTGAAGAGCAGGCATGGGCTTGCATCTTGCATCTCTGAGTTTTTATCCCCTATGAGCCAGGGCACACTGAGATCTTCTGGTAGGGTGTTGCTATTGCGAGGTATAGGCTAAAAACCTAAGGAGACAGGGCCTTTGCTGTCAATCTCTGGAACAGTCTACCAGAGTCTACCAGAGATCAGGCCGGCAGAGTCTGTTCCTGGTTTCATCTCACTTCTTGAAACTCATTTACCGTACATGATACAGTTGAAGCAACACATTTCAACCAAAAACGTTATAGTAACATTATACTAAAACATTATAACTTTTGCATTTGAACTAGTCCTTTATTGGAGGGCTGATAGCACAGCATAAGTTTTGCAATTATTGTATAACTCTAACTTTAACTAACTAACTTTAATTGTATCCAAATGTCTCATTATATTGCTCTATGCTGCATTTATGTTTTAGATAAAGCACTTTGCCTTCTTGTTGAAATGCGCTATACAATAAACATGCCTTGCCTTACACCTGTCCACCACAATATTTTATTTTATTAACTTCTGCTCTATTTCATGTGTTGATGTCTTAGATTCAAATCTTTACTTGCATGATTTTGTTTTTATACATTTGTATGTACGTTGTAAAAGGAGCCTGGGTTAGCATCACAACTACGACCACCTCACTGTAATAGTTGTGCATATGACAATAAAGAACTTAAACTTGAGTACATGATGCTTTTATAGGCAGGGCAATTTTACATACGTATCCCATTTTAGGTAAACTCAATGTGCTTAACATTGAGTGCTACAGCAACACATGATGACAGCCTGTGACTGATCTGCTATCTTGCAGGTTCATTATGAGAGTCAACTCTGATGGCTGCAGGTCAGCTGAAAATCTGACAAGAGGGTGCAAAGAAAAAGCACTATGTTGAATTCTCAAGTTGCTTCTCTCATAGACAGCTTGTGGACTTTGATTGGCAAAACTACTAAAAAGAAACACACAACAATCTTTTATTTTATTTCTGTATTGCCTGTTTTGCTGTTCATCGGTGAGTTTTATCAATCCTATTGAGGGAAAGGGAAACACAAGCAGGAATTCACAAAACAGTTCCTAAGCTCCTTTTGTCCATTAGTTGCTGGAATTACTACTAGACACAATATACTGTTTATACTGTTTGTGAGAGTGTTATATTTATAAATGCTACTTTAATAAGTAGATGTTCTACAAATAAAAGGCAGATAAAGACAAGTGTTTACCAGCAAACATCACATGTATCATTTTACATCACCGGACTGTAACAGTCTGAAACAGTTTGTGTCCGGGGTGGGAAGGGTAGGTCACATCTTTCCTGCTCGCCTCAGAATCCTGGAGGTGTACAGGTCCTGGAGGGATGGTAGATTGCAGCCAATCACTTTCTTTGTTTAGCGGATGACACCACCATCATCAGCCGGATTTCAAACAACGATGAATGCTTTATATCGGGGAGGAAATTGATAATCTTGCAAAGTGGTACAGAGAACAACCTACTGCTCAACGTCAGCAACACTAAGCAGCTGATCATTGATTTCAGGAAAACAGAGATAAAGACACACTCCTGTCTACATCAGTGGTGCTGAGTTGGAGCAAGTGAACAGTTTCAGGTTCCTGGGAATCAGCATCACAGAGAAGCTGACATGGTCGTCTGACATCTCCACGCTGCTGAACAAAGCTCAGAAACTACTGTATTTCTTGAGGAAGCTTAAGAAGGCCAAAGTCCCACACCAAGTTCTTGTCAGCTTTTACAGAGGAGCAATAGAAAGCATCCTGACTGGAAACATCACTAACTGGCATGGGATGTGACTGCTTAGGAGAGGAAGTTTGGACTTGTCATAGTAAGAAAAGCCCATGTGTGACTAATAACATTAACAACAACAGTGGCTCTGTTCTATTCAGTTGTCCCAGTAGGCCATGACAGTGTGACAGTGAACCATACACAGTACCAGGACCCTGAAACTGAAGCAGTTAAATGGCATTCATTCATTTGATTATTTACACCTGTGCTTTTTCTACTATAATAAGTCAAAATGTCCAACCTCTTACTAATACTGTGTACAGGCAAGAGACAAAGCAGTCCTACTACACACAACAATGTTACTGCAATAACCCTAACACAGGGTTAATAAAAATAAATCTAAAAACATTATTTCAAGCTGAACACATCTTTGAATTTCAACAGGTTTTTTGACAATGATTTGAGACTTTTATTAGGCCTAGTTTAGATTTTTCTGTTTTTTATAAAAAAAAACAAACCCAAATGTAGAAATACCTCAAGGTTATGTACTTTAAATAGATGCCTATGAATATTGGAATATTTTTGCACACAAAACATAATACATATAATACACATTTTACAGATTTTATATGGCAGATGTAGACCGTGCATTTCTCTCTATGTGTTAATAATAATGTCGTTTTTCTGATAAATAGATTGTGTGTGTGTTATTTTTGGTGTTAGTTTACAGCTGCTTGGAACACCCTGTAAAATCTGCAATCTGTTACTGAAATAAAAAAAAATGTACTCACATTCACCACTGTCTTTTTCTACAGCCATGGAGATAACGGTGAGGTATTTGCCTTTTGAACGACATAGTTTGTTTGTCTCGTTAAGTGATTGGCGTTTGCTTACACCAATACAATCAGAGGAAATAGCGTGACCGCGAGACATCCAACCAATGCGCTGTCTGTGGGCGGGGCTTCACGCCCAGCTAACGTAAGCGTTGTTAGTAGGAAGAAGAAGCCGATTCTGGAAGCCATTACGTTGCGCACATCAATTGAGTAAATCCTACTATTTTTGCGTACAATACGCACAATTACCTCTCCTAAAGAGGAATTTCTGCAATTATGGCATCGGTCGCGAAAAAGAGAAAAATGAATTTCTCGGAGAGAGAGGTGGAAATTATTGTGGAAGAAATAGAGAAACAAAAGCACACACTGGTTAACCACTTCAATGCTGGAGTCACCCACATGGCAAAGAATAACGCCTGGGTGGATATCCTGAAAAAGGTGAACGCTGTCACCACCTGTCCCAGAGAGTTGCCCGAGGTGAAAAAGAAGTGGTCTGACATGAAGACGGAGGTCCGGCGGAAAGTGGCCCAGGCGCGGGCTGCTATAGAGGGAACCTCCGCGGACTGCACTCCAGTTCCCGTCATCCTCACTGCTATGCAGCAGAGGATCTGTAACCTCCTGGGGGAGGCCACCATCATCAGCTTACCTGCAGGAGACTCGGATGCTGAGATAACTTTACCTGTCACAGTGAACACCGCCACCACCGTCACACTAGCAGAGAGTAAGTTGACAAAAGTTTTCTCTCTGAGCATGCTCAGGATACAGTTACAGCGTCTGGGTAATGTGTGCTGCTATAATGAGCAGGAGACATTCAGATTGCCCTCTGGTGGATTCTTCTGCAGAGAGGCTGAGACATACTGCATGTGCAAAACTGGGAATGTGTTATGTATAAGATTAAATTAAGTGGAACACTATAAAAAGGAAAATCCAGAAGAGGAACAGAAAACATGCAACCTGACTCTGGTCTGCTAAGGGTCTGGAAAAACTAGAGCATGGATTATGGTGAACTTTGAGTCAATGAGTTACACAGGGTTCTAATGCATTTTCATTTTTTTTATTCTACCAGTGAAACCAGGCTTGGTGAAGGCTTGATAAGAGCAAATGCACTATTAGAGTTGAAATGAGGAGTGCACCTCTGTTGCAGATGTTTAATTTAACTATGCCTCCCTACAATCGCCTCACCTGCAGGCTTCCTTTAAAGTAGAGGTTCCCAAACATTTTGGCTTGTGGCTCCCCAACACAAAGTTGTGTCTACTCGTGACCCTCATCACAGGTTGCATATGTGAATAACTAAAGACTTAAAGAGTCATTCTTTAATGAAGATTATTTCATTTTATAGTCTTTAAGCCTGAAAAAGTCAACTTATAGGTATGTATGACTGGCAGATTGGTCTTACTACTAGGTACCTACCTCCCTCCCTGCTAAAGGTCTATGTGTTTCCTGTCCTCAGTTTGTAACACAGGCTTTAAGTTATACATTTATAGTCAACACTATCACTAGAGGAAACAAACTCAGAGGTTTTAGTGTTCCCTCACATAAAAAAGTATCAAACGTTTAACTGCTCTTTAATAACTTCACTGAAAGGATGGATGGACTGAAAGGTCCATTCTCTGTTATGTGCACTGGAAGCTTGACGTTTCCACAATACACTTGTATTAATTTTTTTTTGCTTACTGGACCATGATTGTCTCCCAAAGTAGTTGAGATGTTACAAATCCTACTCGTACGTACACGCAGCCAACTCTGATTTACTCTGAGCAGAGAGGAACTTTTCTCCTTCAGCAAATGAATGTGAAAACATTTTGACACGTTTTAGTGTTGAGCGCTGCACATGCATCATTCAGTACAGTGGAACACCAATATCACAGTGAGGTAACAAGCGGAACACATATTTGACCGGAGAGGGACTTTATTTCATCTCCCATGTTCAAAAATAAAAGACTTAAACTAAAGAGAAAGCATTTGTGTGATTGGCTTTGACGCCGACGTTTGTGAAGCGTATCTCTTAGAGCTGGTGATATACCCAAACAGCCGCCTTCCGTTTCTGCTCACTCTTGTCTTCTCTCATTCTCCACCTCACTGCTTCCGAGTTATTTCCTTGTAGATGATGATAAGTGGTAATGAGGTAGGAGAGGACGTGAGTAGGAGGAAAGACAAATGGAATGCACCTTTGACCTTGATGGAGTGGTTGTCTGTCCCTGACTTGTCTCAGCCATTGAGAAGTGCTCTGGATGCATTAAAGACTTGAAAAGCATCAGCCCCCCCCCCCCACACACACACACCCACACACACCCACACACCATACCCCACCCACCCACCTACCCACTGCCGCCTCCTTTTCTCCATGACCCAGAAACTCTGACTATGTGCCTGATATCCAGATGTGATGAATCACATGTGGCACTGTGAAAAATATTAAAAGACCACACCAAGTGTTTTTGCAAAGTTGAATTGTATTTTAGTCTTTCACATTTTACATTGTACTTTGATTGCTGGTTGTTTTTGTTGTGTTTTTAGCACCATATTCTGTTTTTTTAGCTCTTCCTGCTGGCTCAGGTACAGTCTGTGATGAAGCAAAGCCACTGAATGGTAAGTTCTTTTCTTCCTGCAGTATCCATCCATAGCAGCATGGTATAGTATAGCTGACACAGGCGGAGCACTCAGTGTATTCCTTAGTTAAAATGACACATCAATCAGCACAGTACAACAGGAGGTCTCATACATTGAACTGATCATTCCATAAGATTTCTGATGACCATAAATGTGTGTGCAGATACTCGAGGCCTATACACTTATAATGATCAATTAGAGCACATACCTCTATCACTGAAAGAAGAAGGGATAAAATTTAGTTTCCGTTGCATACATTCTCATGGAATATACAAACACAATGGCGGTAGAAAAATTGAGAAAAGTCCTTTAATAATAAGATAATTAAAAATAAATAAATACTATTGATTGACAAAAAATTAACTTGCCATAAGCACAAACAGCTGTCAGGTTTGCTCATGCCTCACACCAGCCTGTTGTGTTTTTCATCCCTTACTGGAATATTTTTTTCTGATATTGTAATAATCTTATTCTCAAGGTAGCAGCCTGAATGCATTTACCCAATAGCCTCACGTTGCAAGATTGCATTCTGACCTGCACTCTGACTGAGGTGAAAGTCAAGGATATTATATATTTTCCATTAAACTTGCATTATAATTAAAGCTTTTTGCAAGCTGGTTTGTGTCCCAAAAGGTACAGAAAGACTTTGAAACAAGGTTTGGAATGTAGCCGTTTGACTTTCTATCAATCAGTCATAATATACTGTGCAAGATTTATTGCAGGGCCATGTCCAGACCAGTGTCTGCTTTGTACCTCTGAGGATCAGCCACCAGAACAACATGCAACATTTGATTCCTGCAGCATCAGTTTAGCAGCCAGCAGCGATCCCCCAACCACCTCAGTGTTTTGGTTATTTGGAAGGCCAGAAACATCACTTATTTTTGAAAGATGAACGAGACTGATTGCTGCCCGCTGTCATTCACAAGGACAATAATTCATTCTGATTGGCTGTCTTATATCTTAACAAACAGTTGTGCAAATTAAAACACGTTCAATGCAGTTAAAATGTTGGTGTGTTCAACAAAGAGGAGGGTTAAAATGTAATATGATAAATGAACTTGCATATTCATCACCATCCAATTGAAACTATTTAGACCTGAACCTTTGACCACATCCTGACTCCAGCTCCATACATACATAATTACCCAAAACTACTCCTTTAATAGGAGGAGTGACATGAGTATTAGTGGATATCTATGGCTTTGGCATTTGATTGGAAGCATTAACAGTTTTTCTGTTTTCAGCTGAAACAACTTACCACACTCTGGAGGACGCAGGCGTGGTGGAGTACTGCACCACCACTGTAGGCGACTCCACTCCCACTGTGGTGGCGGCCGTTGAGGCCCCAGTGGAAATGCTGGCCTCATCCTCAGCATCCCCGCCTCCGCCTCAGAGTCAGGCCAAACCTCAGGAGCTAAAGAGTCGCATCGCCCTCAACTCAGCCCGCCTGCTGCAGGAACAGAGAGTCACCAACGTCCACATCCGACAGATAGCCCAGCACCTGGAGGGCCAGAACGAGCTGCTGCAGATGATGCGGCGCTCCCAGGAGGCTCAGGCATTCGCTCAGGAGAGACAGGCCTTGGCCCTGGAAGGTACCCAGGCTGCCCTGCTAGCATTAGTGCAGATGCTCAAGCCTGCCCTCAAAGACCTGCGCAAATTCTTGCAGAGTGGGACTGAGGTTGTAAACCCCAGCAGCTCAGCAGCAGGAGTGACGGCTGACGGGACAGGAATAGAGGAGCAGAGCAGGCCCAAAACACCTCCACCTCCTCCACAGCAAGCCGAGGAGACACAATAGACAGTGTGTGTGTGGCCCTGCCTCCTGTCTGCATTGCACATAGAGAACAATGAAAAGCTTGTCAAAAGTTGCCTTCTGCATGTACAGAGTTTTACTTGTGTTTTACAATTTTGGAAAAACAGTCACTTTCTATCCTTTTCAGCATTGAAAATGTGTATGTTGAGAGCATTATTTTACCATTTGTTAATAATTAGCAGTGAGTTTATGTTATTTAATACCTTGGATTTGATATTGAAATTTGGTTTTAATGCAAAGGTCTGGAAGGTTATCACCCTGATGTGGGCTGAACATTTAATTCTTAGTTTCTTCAAGTTATCCCGCAGTTTATCCTGAATGAACAATAATCAGTTGTTTTTAGCACCAGTCAGCTGGGGTCCTCAGTTAGTGTGCACTGTATCTTCAGAACTGATTAAATGTGAAGAAATATCAGCACCGTGTTTTTTTTCCCTACAGGAAGCATCACTATTAATCAGCCAGGAGAGGTCAGTGTGTAAACAAGTTTCACCACTGGTGGAGCAGCTGTGTAGTTTTAGGTAACCTAGGAAGTGGAAATATTTTTGTAATTTGTTTTTGTTTTTGTTTTCAATGACCACATGGTTCACACTATGTATGTATGTGAGTGTGTGTACAGTCGGTAGTGCATATCACACAAAAGTGACAGAAAATTCCCATTGGATTTCATGAAGTTCTATATCAAAATGTATGGTCAAGGCCTAGCGAAAACAAGGATTCTGAGAAAAGCTCTTTTTGAGATTTCTGTTTTATTTTGTTGAATGGTGACCACCAACTGGAGGTCATTGTTTTTATCTTAGGGCTCATCTCACTAAACTGATCTAAATTCTTCAACTTAAGTCTGTGGACTAAGCACAATCATTTTGATATAAACCCTGCATTTATACATTTGGCACTAGAGTAGAGGAGGTGCGTCCACCAATCTGAACTGACTGGGGTCTGTATGTGAGGAAGTCCAGTGTCCAGTTGCAGAGTGTTGTATTTAAACCCAGAGTGCTGATTTGCTGATCAGTTTCATGGGGGAGATTGTGCTGAAGGCTGAGCTGAGCTGTGGCCAACCCATTCAGTGATTTAAAAACAATAAGATCTTAAAATGTATTCTAAAAGGGATTGGGAGCCAGTGTTGCGAGGCCAGGACTGGTGTAATGTGTTCATGCTTGCGAGTTCCAGTTAAAAGATGAGCAGCCGAGTTTTGTACTAACTGTGAGCGGAAGAGTGCATTACAGTAGTCCAGATGAGTTGAGATAAAAGCATGAATCACATGCTCAAAGTGCTTATGAGATAAAACAGGTTTAATTTTAGATAAAAGCCTCAAGTGATAAAAACTAGATTAACAACATTATTATCTGTTTTATCAAGTTTAAAATCATTGTCTATTTTGACGCTGCACAGTGGCTGCCCACTGCACCCTTAAGGAATGGGTTAAATGCAGAGAATGCATTTCGCTACATGTAGCTGTGTGTATGTGACAATAAAGTACCCTGTAGTCTGGGTTAGTTGTAACATATGCTGGGGTAAAATGTAACATTATGTAATAAGAAATATGAGAAAAAATATGATATTGAAAGCTTTTTTATTAATTTTTTAAAAACATAATTAGTGTGTGTGTAGTGTGATCCAAGTATCTTAATTACTGTCAGTCACAGTGGTGACTTGGTAGTGAACATGTAGTGTGTGTGTTTCTACTTGTTTGTCTTGTAACCTCACAGTGGCGATAGACAAATGGCTCTCCTGGAGATCAGGCCTCATGGGCCCACAGAGAAGCCTACAGGTCTACACAACATCGAACAATTAAACATTACTGTGTGTGTCAGACACATACTGAAATTCAAAGAAAACATATAAGTACAACTAAACATTTTCTTGGGGTGGTTGTAACATTTTCATTGTTACAACAGATCCACACTCTTGCAACCATGAACTAGCTTACCTCACAGCATATAGCTAAAACATTAGCAGTAACAATTTGCGTGAAAGATATCTACATATATACAAAATAAGCATGCCTTAAGTTTGATGAGTTTAACTACAAAGCAAGCAGTGTTATAATAAAAATAAATGAAATAAATAAATGAAAAGAATATTACGTCAAAATAATATTTTTTCATTTAAAAATTGGCTGTGTCTGCTACTGGGTGCTACTTTTTCCCATGTGGAAAAAGGTCTAAACTAAGCATGAGTAGAGTGAATCAGGTGATTTGTAACTTATTCCTGATTAGAGAAACTGGACGTGTTACAACTGATACATTTTACAACAAGAGCTTGCAGATGTTCCACTACTTAAAGAGGATGGGAGAGGACTCTGGCTGGTGATGGTGGAGGGTACAGAGTGAATGAAGGTGGTCGAGCAAAGCCGAGAGGGGAGTGCGGGCTGAGTAGTAAGCGGGTGAGGCACGAGCTCAAGGCTGTGAGCGTGGCTGTCAGTGAGGAAGGTAGGCTAGCAGGACTACAGGCAATAATCTTGAGGCACAGGTATCCAGTGTTAGTTACAGGGAAAACCATGAGGAGATAAACTCAGTACATAGCACTCAATACTAAGCAGCAGAGAGAGCTGATACCAAACTGGCTGAAGCGACAATCTTGCAAAGAGAGGATGAATGACCAGGGTAGAAGTACAGCTAGGCTGATGAGCTGATGGATGGCAGGCGGGTAAGTTATCAGGCCAGAGTGCAGGTGAACAGATAATCAGGGAACAGAGAGAAAGAGCGAGAAGCGTAGCAAGCCCACATCTCACACTAATACAGAGAAACAGATGGGCGGAAAGACAAGAGACTCTAGGAAAGGGAAACCACAGAAAAGACTGGTGTCGTGGCACTAAACATTTTAATAAATTCCTAATAAACATAACATTTTCCACAAAACACAACATTTTCCTAATAATAAATTCCTAATAAACACAACATTTTCCTAATAATAAATTCCTAATAAACACATCATTTTCCCAATAATAAATTCCTAATAAACAACATTTTCCTAATAATAAATTCCTAATAAACACAACATTTTCCCAATAATAAATTCCTAATAAACACAACATTTTCCTAATAATAAATTCCTAATAAACACAACATTTTCCTAATAATAAATTCCTAATAAACACAACATTTTCCTAATAATAAATTCCTAATAAACACAACATTTTCCTAATAATAAATTCTTAATAAACACAACATTTTCCCAATAATAAATTCCTAATAAACAACATTTTCCCAATAATAAATTCCTAATAAACAACATTTTCCCAATAATAAATTCCTAATAAACAACATTTTCCCAATAATAAATTCCTAATAAACACAACATTTTCCCAATAATAAATTCCTAATAAACATAACATTTTCCACAAAACACAACATTTTCCTAATAATAAATTCCTAATAAACACAACATTTTCCTAATAATAAATTCCTAATAGACACAACATTTTCCTAATAATAAATTCCTAATAAACATTTGTCCATAAAACATTTCACCTGTTTTATGGATTCAAAGACAAAAACTGAAAATTCTGATGATAATTCAGGGTGTGGACCAGGACTACGGTACACTGTATCAAATAGAACTGGCTGTGGTGTTTTCCATCCATGACGCCTTTCACATTACACTATTGCTGATATAAATATTTTAATTAGCAGCTTTAATGTCAGTTTTTTTTTAAGTTTCAGCATTCCGAATTAGTGCTTTGTATTTTTTTTTTCGGTGGGGCACGCCCATGCAGAAAAATAACAAACATATTCACATATGTTCTTGTTATTTACAATAATACCTTTGGACATACTTGTAGACACATGAATACTTAATATGGTATCTGAATGTATAGGCATAACACCACACACACACACACACACACACACACACACACACACACACACACACACACACACACACTGTATATACACAATAAATATATACATATACATGTGACATTCTGGTATGTGATTCTAGCACATCTATACACATGATGACATTTTCAGAAATGCACATATATTAGATTTCAGTATGGATGATGCTCTATACACACAAAGCTCTGCTGAGACTTTGTGGACGGTCCCTAACTGGCCCCGTGAGATCTGAGACGTTCACTGAGCCCCGCTGACAGACTGTTTTTAAACTCTCTGTTGGAGAGGGAAACGCTAGTGAAGATGCGCTGAAGCTGAGAAACCTGCCAGGAACCCAGACTTGTTGTCTGCAGGGGTACACAGCTGTGCTGTTTTCCCAAATATAAGGAGCAGCAGACCGACGGAACGGTAAGGTTTGCTGGAAGTTTACACGAAAGACACGATAGCCTGCACTGAGTCACCGAGAGGCTTCAGTGTTTGCGTGGCAGCTGTCTGCGCTGGGAGAGTCTGTTAATGTTAGAGAGAATCACCGGCAAACATACGGAGTTTTTGAGATACTGTCTAAAACTCAGAAATATCTATTTTATTAGACAAAGCTGTAATGGTATGTAGCATGTGTTGTGTTAAATCTGCAATGTAGAAACCCCCCACATGGTTTCCACTGCTGTCATTCCTCCAGAAACCTTCACGCAGTTGCAAATGAAACCAAGTGTATTTTGCTTCAGGCAGTAACTTCAGCGAGTTCAACAAGTGTTTTTTTTTTTCAATTCCAGGTCTAAACAATTCTTCAGAAATGATTCACATTGAAGCAAAGGATTTTCAGCCCCCGCTTTACAGCCAAATACAGTATATTTATTTACTTTTTCTCTGTTTTCATTTATTGGCCTTCATCATACAATGAGCACGCTCCAGCAGCTGGGAACAATGTCTTTTATGATGAAAAAGAAGAAGTTCAAGTTTCAAGTGCATTTCACATTGGAGGAGCTTACAGCAGTGCCTTTCGTCAATGGAGTGCTTTTCTGCAAGATCCGGCTGATAGATGGTGGGGACTTTGCCATCTTGTCGTCCAGGTATTTAGAACAACTTGTCACTTCCTTGTTATAACTCACTAAAACCTCTACTGCATGAAATCTGCTTCCAGTCCAAAACACACTGACCTTGTCTCCACATGTCATTCTTTTTCATTTTAAAAGTTGACACTTTGATATTTTCTACAAACAGAGCAGGACTAGATTATGTAGACACACTGCTACAAAGGAGTGGATAATTGATCTCTGTTTGTTGTTAGTTTTCCACCTCAGATAAGGGGGGGTGTGCACTGCATGGGGAAAGCTGTAAAACTGGCATGAAACTGCATATCTTGCAGTTCAACCTTTAGTACACTATGTGTTGTTTCACCCTTATTGCTCCTGGGAAATTTGTCTTTGTGCTGTTTCTCAGCTCCACCCTGGCGAACATTCACACTGGGGCGCTCAGTATTACCACAGCCTTCTGCTGCTCTCCTTGAGCCTCTCTGTGGGAGAATGTTAAGATTAAGGGGTTTGCTGGAGCAAAGTTTTTGAGGGAGCAAAAGTAATCCACTCTCTAGTAGGGTTGGGTATCATATCAGTTATATCAATTCCAGTTCTACTTATCGAATCTAGTTCTTATCAAATCTCGGTTCTGAATTCCAATCCCATTCCCCACAAATCTTGACGGCGCTTGGTGACGTTCATCCACTTTCTCCTTTCTCCTAAAGTGAGATAAGTCTCTGTACTTGAGGGGGGTCTCTGGGGACTCCAATCTTAGAAAAATATATTTTGGAGTCATTTGTAGACACCATTTGTTTCCCTTCAATATTAAAGGTGAATGTCAGCTCACGTGTGTTTTGTACCCAAGTGTGAGACGTTGCTACTGTTAGCCTTAGCTGTATCTGGAGCATCATTGTAGCTGGAAGACTGCAACACATCAAACACGGTGCAGTCCTTCAGATTCAGAATGATTTGAAGTAAATACTTCAAATATTATATATATTAAAAATACTAAATACTGCTGCCTCCCTTGCACCAAATATCCTTACTGCAGGTGTTGTATTTTGCTGTGTCATTGTCTTTTTTTTAGTGTTTTGTTAGCATTTGCTGTGGTCCCCCATGGTCCTGTGAACAGAAATACTCTCTTCTTGCATGCTGTGTTGATGTACTGCGGAACAAATGACATGACATTAGGTCTGTGTAGCAGGCATTTTATGAACTTTAAAATGCTTACTGCAGTTCAATCGGAAGTGTGACTGAAATATGCAAAAAGTTAGGAACCGATAAGCAGAATAGAAATACATGTCTTATCGGATCCACTGTTCTTGAAAATCCACACTCCATTCCAGTTGGTGGCAGTAATACACCATAACGTTATTTATCAACCACCATAAAAATCAAGAAGAAGCAGCAGCAGCATGGGGTAATAAGTAAGAAAACGTCAACCTCACAGCAGTATTTTGTATTCTTAATGGATTCTTTTAAAGACAAATTATATAAATGTGGGTAGTGGCAAACTTCTCTTTCAAACGATAATCCATTTTGTTGTCTAAGCATGCACGGTTAGCACTTTTGCTATGTGTACAGTCACAAATGTGGAAAGTATGGATTTGGCTTAAGACTCACTCTGATTAAATTTGTGGTTCAGTATGAGTTAGCTGTGTGGAAGTGATTAAGTACTGCAGGGCTGATGAGGGAGCGTGGAAACAGGTAAGCAGGGAAGGTCAGGTAACTGCAGGGCTGATAAGAGAAGTTGGAACAGGTGTGTAAATGGGTGGAGCAGTCAGGTGATGTGGAAAGGAGGGAAAGTCCGAGGGCATCGGGTGGGTGGATAGAAAATGGCAATGAAAGGGCCTGGGGAACCTGGCTGAAGAGAGGACAGAGAGACTGACTGTGACATTTGCTTTAAATAGCTGTTGTGTAGGCCTACCTAATAATAATATTATATATATAATAGTAGAAAAGTGATTCTTGACAGTTAACATAGAAGGACACTTGTTTTTTTTTTCCAAAAGTTAATATGCAACAGGGAAACACAAAGCTATGTTTCTATCTTTGCACTTTTATGCAAATTCAGCAAATAATTGTTAGAAAAGCTGTCTGGAAACGCCAAAATCCAGCTACAGTATCACTAAAAAGGTTTTTTTATGGGTATCTTTTTACTTTTGTCCATAAAGAATTTATGCAACAAACATTGCTCAACAATTGTGAATTGGGTTTAAAAATACTGAAATTAAGCTGTAAAGGGCTGTCAGCAGAGATCCAACATAACTTTCCCCAGAGCTGTCAAATGCACTGCTGCACCCGTATCAGAGATTCTCTGCTATAAATTTATTTATAAAAATCTCTGTCATCATCTTGCTTTGGAAAACAAGAAATACGGTCTCATATGGGCTGAAACAAAATAACCTACAGCAGTAAGGAACCTTTTTGCTACTGAGAGAAAGCTGAAGAAACCTGATGGTTAATTGTGGTTTAAACTCGTCTTTATGGTCAACACTTGAGGCCAAACAGTGGATCACTTCACAAATCTGAGGTAGAACATTCAAAACAATTATAATAAAATCTTTTTCAACACATATGCATGAGTAAAATTTAGTAAAAGCTTTTTTTCAGTCCTTTTTCCTCAACAAAATAACCATCTTAATAAAACATTAAGTCCTAATTCGTGTATGATTCAAGTGAATAAAATCAAACATATATTGAATATTTATTATTTGTTATATTGTTATTGAAAATAATTATATCGCGCTAATTATTGTTATTGTTTTATTCTCCAGCCCTAGGTAGACAAATTATTTACCTCAACCCAGCTGATGGAAACACATCTGTAGGATCCTAAACTTATATATTCAACTGTAAAACTTCCTAGATTGCATGTGGTATTCACCCTTTGCTAAGCCACGCCCCGAAGACCCAAGCTGGCCAATCACAGCGCAGTTTAGGACTGACTCTAATTGATACTTTAATCCGACACTTTCATGGCTGCGCTCCATTGACTCCTTTTCATTTTCTAGCTTTTTTTTGCTGACCTTTTACAAAATATAGTCAAATGCTGTTCCAGGGGCACTTTTAAGAGTTACAAAAACTACGCAGAGAGGTTGAAAGGAGAACTACTTTTATTAATATCATTGTCCTTTGTATCAATCATCAAGTGATGCGTTGGCTTTAGCTTTTAACTTTATTTTTCAGATCAGTTTGACTAGAATATAATCTATAAATGCAAACCTTTCTGTCTGCTTCTTTCTGAGATCACTGTTCCAAAATTTTGACAATATTTTTCCGGGGGTGTGCAGTGACAGTGGCAGCGTTGCGCTAAGTCTATTGCTAAGTAGCAATAGTAACTAAGGGCAGCGTGGCTTTGCGAAAGGTCAATTCATACCAGAGGAAGGGAAAGGCTAGACCATATTCTTTGTGATATTAACAGAGACCCAACAATTTCCAGCATGAGCAAGCACTGGCGATGAAAAACTCCCTTTTAGCAGGTAGAAACCTTGAACAGAAAAGTGACTCAGGGTGGGCGGCCACTGCCTCGACTGGACAGGTCCATAAATTTACACATGTATCTTGTTTCTTTTATATTGTACAAACAGAAATGTAAAAATTACATATCATGCAACTGTTCCTTGACAAACAACAAAAAAAGTTGGGTCTTCTTGGATCGAGTTGGCTCTGGTATTACATATAATGTTAAACAGAACTAAGATCCACGGTACGGGACCCGACCCAGGCCAGATTGACCTTAATAAACATGGATCCGAACCCATACACGTCCTGGGTAATGTCTCTCGTCTGGAGCAATGCAAAATTCATAGCTTTTTCTACAGTTGGGTGGACCTCATGTGCAACAGAGAGCCTTATCACAATCACAGCGCACTACATTACCAACAACTGGGTAATTGTGAACCCCGTTCTCCAGACATGTGCTGTCCATGAAAGTCACACAAGGGACCATTTGTCAGAAATACTACAGGGAGCCGTAGCAGGGTGGACAACGCACAGCGCAACTTGGCATGACAGAAGGGGATGGGCTTTAACCAGATGTACTGCCTTTTAGTCAGAGTGAGAAAAATCACTTTTTTCCATCATAACACTACTGCTGCAGCAATGCTAACAACAAGTTACTGACTTGACTAGTAGGATATTTAACGGTATAGTAGAAATCTTCACGGTTGAATGTCCCTTACTGCAAGGACTTTTTCCCTTCTCTCTTAAAGTTAATACTCTCAAGAACCTTTTACTTTTCTGAATGAACTACATTTAAATTCTTGTGTCAAATTGTTTGTTTCATGCTCAACCAAGATTTGGTAAAAGTTTAATGGCTGTGAGCTTACTTTGTTTGCGCAAGAAATTAATACAACTGCCCGATATTACTCTGACTGTTTTACTTCTTTATTTGCACAAGCATGTGTGCACAGGAATCTTAAACAATACGTTAGAATGTACTACCCTCATAAAGGTGTCAGTTTCACACCAAAATCGCCCTCAATTACGTCCTCAGGAGGCTTTGAGCTTTTAAGCTTCCACAGGCATGAGCCTCCACAGTTGACACATGAACTACCAGCACACACAGAGGCATTTATGCTCAACATGCTATCTGTTGCAGTATTCTCTGAAAGGCCAGGGGGCGTACAAAGAAAATATTCTGTGAAGAAGCAAGAAATCACTGTGTTACCAGAAACCTTCAATTATGTACTCACATTCACACGTTCACATTGACCATACACATATATTAGGTTTTGACCTAGTCTTGGATTGCCCACGTGACCAGGGATGACTGTGAGTGAAATTCAGCCCGGGACTTTGAGACGGAGAGGCCTTTTATGCGAACACCGTGTGGGGGCGGGAGATAGACTTTTTGCAGTTATTTTAATATATAGTGTTGTACTTGTATACAGTCAATTTCATTATGCTGAAGAGCTTCAAGAAACATTTTATGACACCTGCCTCTTAAGTTTGTAAATGCAAGGCACCACTGCATTGAACAAGACCACACTGGACAAGCCTGAGTCAGTCGGAGTGCTAAAACAGTTAAATATACTCAGAAACTACAATGCAGT